TGAAACAGTGTGCGAAATAGTTTCCAAATTTTGCTAGCCAGTCGGGCTAGCTATGCCTGAAAGTTACTAGCCCACAAAATAATTCACTAGTCCGAAATTTGAATGTAGAGACGGGTTTCATCATTAAGCTGCTAATATGATGAACATTTTTATCAGGCCATAATCTTGCATGATTTAAAAGTGTGTTATAACTTAACAAGTCGGAGAGAGTGATATATTTACAAAATGACCCCATGAAATTCACCAGCCAGTCGGGCCAGTGACTGTGGAAATTTACTGGCCCCACTGGATTTTTACTAGCCACGGGCTAGCGGGCCAGTGGCTATTTCGCACACTGTACTGAAAGAATGACGAAGCTGAAATACATTTTAACCCAGTCTTCATATTCTATCCGTGTCATCAGTGTGATATTGCTGTGTATCAATAACGTTTACGTCAGCGACAGTGAACTGGCACTGAAATACCATTATTTCCGCTGGGACCGTATGGAACCATTACTCAGTTGGAAGTCATACGTATCCACTGTCCGGAACGTCTGTAGTCTAAATACGGTATAACTGACGCCAAGTCCCGTTGGTGAACAGACTGGAAACTCTAGAAAAAGGTCTCCCTGGTTCAACTATCGAAATAGAGTAGACGGGGGTGTATTGCTCTCTTAATTACACTTGCAACCTTGGGAATTATAACAGCATGTAAAATGACTTTCGGGCACTCTGTCCTCACTAGTCTTCTTGGCACTTTGTAATATATGTTCAATCCAAACATTTCTTTTCCTCCATTTAGTCATGAATTATTTTGTGTCGCTTGATTTTCGATTACCAGATTAGCGAGTGAGTGAGTGAGTTTATTTTTACGCCGCACTCAGCAATATTCCATCTATATGGCGGCGTGTAAATAATCGAGTCTGGACCAGACAATCCAGTTATCAACAGCGTGAGCATCGACCTGCGCAATTGGGAACCGATGACAACCAAGCCAGCGAATCTGACCACCCGATCCCGTTAGTCGCCTCTTACGACAAGCATGGGTTACTGAAGGTTCATTCTAACCCGGACCTTCAGACCTTAACAGATTAGCCTCGATAACGATAATGTTTAATAAGATATAACTACTCCCGTGTTAGTGAGTGAGTTTGGTTCAACGCTGACTTGAACAGATTTAATGTGGCAGGAAAAAGAGATGCAGTTTTAAGACATTCATCGCTTTGTTGAAATCCAGGGGAATGGTGTCTTGCTGACGAACTATGAAGGACGTACCTAGGATAACAACCCATGGTTATATGTTAGGGATTGTAGCTCAAAGAAGAAGCAAGAATAGGACCTATCTAACAGAAGCAGAACATTTGACAATATTCAGAACAATTGACGGTAAGCAGAACAATTGCCAGTATGCAGAACATTTGATAATATTCAGAACATTTGCAAGTATTCAGAACAATTGACGGGTAAGCAGAACAATTGCCAGTATGCAGAACATTTGAAAGTTAGCAGAACAAGACACAAGAAGAAATAAGAATAGGACCTATCTAACAGAAGCAGACCATTTGACAGTAAGCAGAACATTTGACAATGTACAGAACAACTGACAGTCAGCAGAACAATTGACAATGGAAGCAATTTGACAGTAACCAGAACAATTGACAGTATGCAGAATATTTGACAAAAGCAGAACATTTGTCAGTAAGCAGAACATTTGACAAGAACATGAACAGATGAAAGTTAGCAAAACATTTGACAGTAATTAGAGAAGAGGACAGTAAGGTAACACTTGACAGTAAACACACAAGATGACAATAAGCACAAAAACGACAGTGAACAAAACTGACTGGGTGCGGACATATGACCTGTTTACATGTTGTCCTGCGTTTTAGTATCTTACTCCCGATGATATTGCTGGAATATTGCTAAAAGCGGCGTAAAACCATACTCAGTCAGTCAGTAGTATCTTACTTTTTAGTATCGTATTATCCAACACATAACCTGTAACCAAATTTTGCTCGAATCAATATTTTGATAAACATAAAATGAAATGACATAAATGGACGGTGCCAGCGGTTTTATTGACTAATTTACATTTTATGAATAACCCATGGCATTCTTGTAGTATTCAAATAATACTTCAGTTATTTCTCGTTGTTTTCAATTCAGTTTGAACGCCGATTTCAAACTTGACGTAAACTTGCACCGAAATCGATTTTCTTCAACGAATCAATTATCAAGTTACAATGTATCAAACATTTCGCGATAATGTTCCCTTTAAGCGACACTTGTCATACATCTCGGCATCTCGGGACCCGTTTAGTTGACTTGTCTTGTGCGCAGACATTCCTTTCAACAAATGAACTGTCACCGAGTCCTGCTCCAACAGATACAAATCTTGATTGCTTTGACATAACCGTTGGCTTCAGGACACGGTATTCTTTGAAATCCACTGACGTCTCTTCCAGAACACACCAGCGCCACGGTCGTTCCATTATAAACGTCTTTATTCCAGCACACGTGATTTCAGTTTTGACAACCCGTTGTTTTTTAAGTTACTATTGATTTCGCTTGCTTTTCTTTGAAACTGACGTTAAGTCTTTGGATGAGTAGCTTGTCTTTGATTTGAATCCCCGGCGAGGATTGATTAGACAGCTCCTGCAGGTTTATCGTATGGTATATCTGCAGGATCACGGGACTAAGAATACAGTTTTTTGTCATTGAATTTTGTGTCATATTGGGTATGCATGTATATTATTGGATTAGGAATTTGAAATTGCATCCCTCGTCTGATAAAGCATTCCAGCGTGTGTCGGCCTTGAGTATGGTATTGCCTGATCTCTCAGGTGTTATTACTTGTGAAGATACACTGAAAATCATAACTAACGCTATTTGTAAGATTCGTCCTGGGAATGAACTAATAACGTAGGTGGCGTTTATAACCATGACAATCCTTTTAGTTTCGTTTGGTTTCGGAGACTTTCTCAGCGATAGAAGATGCAGTGCCAGAATGTAAGCTTTTGAATAACGCCTGGATTTTGCAGATTGATAAGTTGTGGGTGGCCATGCAGTTACACGCGTTCATACGACGTGGTTTGACTGTCTGCAGCTGTTAAAAGTCAAAGGTTTGACTGTCTGCAGCTGTTAAAAGTCAAAGGTTTGTCTGTCTGCAGCTGTTAAAAGTCAAAGGTTTGACTGTCTGCAGCTGTTAAAAGTCAAAGGTTTGACTGTCTGCAGCTGTTAAAAGTCAAAAAAGTCAAAGGTTTGACTGTCTGCAGCTGTTAAAAGTCAAAGGTTTGTCTGCAGCTGTTAAAAGTCAAAGGTTTGACTGTCTGCAGCTGTTAAAAGTCAAAGGTTTGACTGTCTGCATCTGTTAAAAGTCAAAGGTTTGACTGTCTGCAGCTGTTAAAAGTCAAAGGTTTGACTGTCTGCAGCTGTTAAAAGTCCGAGTGTTGACTGTTTACACCTGTTAATAATTCATGGTTTGGACGAGTGTTAATAGGATTATAAAAGGTTTGACTGTTAACACGTGTGGATGATACAACCTCCATTTTCAGGCAGCAGTGATATAGATTTTCTATTGCTGTCTACAGAAACAAAAATCAAACAAACAGAGCTTAGACTTTTTATACAGAGCTAGTATCTGATTGTTTCATCACCTGCTACCTTGCTCATTTACTTCTTAAAAACTACAAACGTTGCTATTTCACAGACGTTAAAACACAAAGTTCTTTTCATTCGACTACAAACTGCTTACAAAGTTTTTCAATTCCGACTTTTATAAGGTCATCACAAAAAATCCAAACATTTTTCTTTCCATACGAAATCAGAGATTGTGACTTTATACATTTGACTGAAAAAGGTTGTTGCGATGTGAGGTAAAAATAGTAACTATATTCAATAAATTAAATGTTTCCTGAATTTTGTTTTGTGTAATTCATCAACCGATGTGACTTCTTGAGGAACAATAAAGTAAGACGTACTGTTAACATCCTTGGCTGTATTAGATGTTATGTGCTTGGGAACACTAGACATACCTATCTTGAATATACCACAGTGTTGGTTCTTGTCATTGCAATAGTTGACAGGATTAACTGAATACGCAGTCGTCTTGTATAGGAATAGTGGATGGGTAGTGTGACACCTCTTGCGATAACGCTGAAGGCAAGGGATCGTCACGATACTGGTACAATGTTAGCTCTACTTTCTGTTGACCCATCACGCTACATTCTGTGTTGGCACGTTTATACGTGTACTGTTTAAACGTTACACGATATTTTGTTTCACGTTTCACTATGTTACATGTTACACGCTTGTCCCTTTACACGTTACAACGAATGCTCAGTTATACGTATAAACTACACTCTGCTACTTTCGTTACACGCTACTCTCTGTTTCACGGTACTCTTCCTTACCCGTTACACTCTAGTCGCCGTTACATGCTACTCGGTTACATGTTACAGTGTGGATGCAGACTTGATCTTTCGGTAGTATCATGCAAAGTATGTCGGTATGCCAATTTGAAACGTCCACTCCAGAGAATAATAAACATAGATAATTTTGCTCAGGACTAAATAGAGTGAGTGAGTTTGGTTTTACGCCGCTTTTAGCAATATTCCAGCAATATCACGGCGGGGGGACACCAGAAATGGGCTTAACACATTGTACCCATGTGGGGAATCGAACCCGGGTCTTCGGCGTGACGAGCGAACGCCTTAACCACTAGGCTACCCCACCGCGCCAGGACTAATAGCCCACCGCAAGAAATAGGAGTGTAAATTATACGACGGGATCTCTGAAAATCCGTGATGACTCCAAGTGTTCGCGAAATGGGCAAGCATGACTTGTTCTACCAGTAAAACCCCCATTCGTGGAGTGAATCTCTTCCTGACGTAATCACATTCTACATAGAATCATGTTAAACCAATAACGTGACACCGTAACATGGTAGATTGTTCAGACGGATTAACGTAAATGTTCTGTTTACTCGCTCTTTCACCATGTATTTTACTTTCCTTCCAGACACATACCACGAGGCCCTTCTGGAGTATTTTGAGGAGGCTGAACGCCTGGAACAGGGTTCAGGAGGGGGGCCAGGGTTTGAGGGGGACACAGAGGTGGACCTACCCCCAGGAAGGATTATTCGGTGCTTGAAGTGTGCTGTGCCTGAGGAGAGACCAGACGCCTGTACCCCCCAGGAGTTGAGCCAGAACCTCAATGTCTACACAGTGGATTGTAGAGGGCGCTGTTTGAACATCACGGCAGGTAGGTCCTTACACTGACCTTAGTCCCAGAAATAAAGTTATCCTATTTAAAAATATAAATAGGAAACAATAGATAAAGTCCAAAAGGATACCAAAATAAATCTTAATTCCTGGAGTTGAGGCAAATTAGACTTGATAAATCATTACTGACTTGAGTTGGACTTGTTTTAATTAAACTCTTGGGTCCGGGAGATCTCTAAACGGGACGGGGGCGGTGGGGTAGCCCAGTGGTTAAAGTGTTGGCTCGTCACGCCGAAGACCCGGGTTCGGATCCCCACATAAGTACAATGTGTGAAGCCCATTTCTGGTGTTCCCCGCGGTGATGTTGCTGGAATGTTGCTAAAAGCGGCGTAAAACCAAACTCAGTCAGTCAGTCAGTCAGTCAGTCTAAACGGGACGCTCTCTCGCTTGTAACACACACATCTAGGTGCAATATGAGACGCATTTTAGCTTATTATGTTTGAGGACATTATTTCCATTTTACAGTTGACATGTTTACAGGCCGAATCTTGAAACGGCTTGTAAAAAGATAACTGTTTTTGACGTAAGTTGCTAGTTATAACGGGTTGAGAAGATTTGGACTAAAACCATCAAACTATTTTTTTCAATCGCAAATTAAAAATGAATTTCCCCTACTTTTTTTGAAGAGTATACAACATTTGTGAATAACCACTTCATCTTTGTTTCATCTTTAGTCACCACCACGCATGTGCGTATACTTTCTTTTGCAGTTCAGTTTATATTGCACCATAGTCGTTGATGAGGCGATTTTCGATACACTTTGAAGTGCATTATTCGATATTTCGAAAGAGAGTTTAATATGGCAAGCCGTACAAAATCATCGATCGATAAATCATAAATTGCATTACTGCCCATTATCCTCGTGCCTCTCGCCATACTAAGCTGTGAACAAGAGCTAGTTTAACTGATGTCGTACCATCAGAGAGCAAGCACACCAATCTGGCTGGACATTCAGGACAACCTTGAATGTTTGATCACATGTTGAAGATTGGATCTTATAGTCAGTTTAACGTTAATCTCGTCAGTGATTAGTCTTCGTGGTATCGCGAACAAACAGCATTTATTTCCAAAGAACGTAACCCAGGCGTCTGAGTCCCTGTAATTCGCTGTCCAGAGGTGCGTCCTTTGGTTAGGTCAGAGACCTTTGATCGTGGGTTCCCATCCCAGTTCATTCCGATTATGCGTCTAGGTTTACTTTGTGGGTTTCCCAAAGGGGTAAATGTCTGATACAATCATCACTTTGTATAATAACGCAGTACTAACCCCCATGTCATGAAAGGGGCGGTGGGTAGCCTAGTGGTTAAGGCGTTCGCTCGTCACGCCGAAGACGCGGGTTCGATTCCCCACATGGACAATGTATTAAGCCTGGTGTCCCTCACCGTGATATTGATGGAATATTGCTAAAAGCGGCCTAAAACGTAACTAAATAACTCACATGTCATGAAATAACTGAACCGTGAAGGTCCGGGTTAGAACTGATCTTCAGTAACCCATGCTTGTCGTAAGAGGCGACTAACGGGATCGGGTGGTCAGGCTCGCTGGCTGGGTTGACACATGTCGTCGTAACCCAATTGCGTAGATCGATGTTGATGCTGTGTATCCCTGGATTGTCTGATCCAGACACGATTATTTACAGACCGCCGCCATATAGCTGGAATATTTCTGAGTGCAGTGTAAAACTAAACTCATCCCTCCCTCACCCATGCAATAACTTAAATACTGCGCAAAGGGCTCAAACGCCACTAAAGGTTTTGAACAGAGGTAGTAACACGATATATTCCATGAATTTAGAACTGGATTGCTTAAAGTTTAATTATACACCTGTTCACTCTAAACACATACAAGACGTATTTGGTGCCTTATGATTATAACTTGTCCGCGCCACTTTTTAGACAGCGCTTCGACTTTATCTGTTTATTTCTTGTCAGGACCGATATGAATGTAAATATGTCAACGGGAAAATATTATTTAAACGAACATGCGGTTACTCATACGTGCAAAAAACACGAAGCATTCCCTAGATTCGGACATGCAAAAACGTCCGAAGCGGAAATATGCATGTATCATCAGCTATCGCGCTGAAGTACATTTATAGCACATCCGATTAGAGGCAGTTGTATGGAGCAGCAGTCGTCACCGTAGGACTGAGCTGAGGTGAAATTGGGTTTAACGTCGTGCTTGAGAATATTTCGCTCATATGACGACGTGCATGCGTGTGTGTATGTGTATGTGCGGCTGCTTGTACTAGCCCAGACTTAAGCTGGTTTTATAGTGCTAGCTCACTGAGATACCATGCCGCAGTGAAGCATGAATACCCCACTCAGACACATTATACTGACTCCGAGCCGACCAGTCCTTGTTGTACCCTTGTTGCGCCAGACAGAGACCAACAAGTACCATATTTACACGTCTTTTGGTATGACGCGGTCGGGGATCGAACCCGCGACCTTCCGCTCTCCGGGTGGACGCTCTAATCACTACACCACGGAGGCGGCCCCATCACCGTAGGAAGTTAATCACATCATGTATATGTGTAATGCTTTGTTTACGGCGTGACGCCGCACGGTGTTTAGGATCTCTGATCACTGCAGACACATAGCAACGGGTCACGACGGGGGTGTTTTACTTCAGATTCCCTATGAAAATACCTTCTGAAAACTGCAAGGACGGTTGGGTAGCCTAGTGGTTAACATGGGCGGATCCAGGAATTTTGAAAGGAGGGGGTTCAGGGGGTTCGAACTGGTTAATGAGTTTGCTCGTCACGCCGAAGACCCGTGTTCGACTCCCCACATGGTTACAATGTGTGAAGCCCATTTCTGGTGTCCCCGCCATGATATTGCTGGGATATTGCTAAAAGCGGCCAAAAACCATACTCACTCACTAGTTGGTGCCTGTCAATAGCTTGTTATAACTATCATGATGACAGGGGGCGGTGGGGTAGCCTAGTGGTTAAAGCGTTCGCTCGTCACGCCGAAGACCCGTGTTCGACTCCCCACATGGGTACAATGTGTGAAGCCCATTTCTGGTGTCCCCGTCATGATAATGCTGGAATATTGCTAAAAGTGGCCCGTTGGTGCCTTGGATGAGGCAACACTTCGCGAACACCTGCTTTCACTGAATGATGAATAATAATTCATAAACACATTTCATGTCAAGAACACAAGTCTCGGGTCAATCAACTGATATCATCCAAATCCGAGCTTATGAATACATATACACAAACTGCTAGCGATTCCATGACATTTGCATGGTAAAGAAGCAGTAGTTTTTTCGTTACATCTTTCCACAAACGGAGTGTTGTTTCCTGATTCACGGATAATAGAAGGGGCTTGTATTACAGTATTACGCTGAACGAATTAATAGTTTTCCTGTTATTGCCTAAAGTGTTTTGTGGTCATGATAAAATAAAGCGATTATTGTTGAGGTTTTTATTGATACGAATTGACTTAATTATGTTTTTGGTCATAAACATACAAATGTGCATCTGAGTGTGCAATTAATGATGGCCCTAATGTCAAGGCATCTCTATTTATGTACATGTAATGTCTCAAACTGTTAACAATAACAATGACAACATTATATATGTACTCAGTCTTCTTTGATGGGCATTTTAGAAGTTGAGTTGATGAAGAAGAATGGCAATTATAATGGATATACAACTTCTTCTATTTTGTGGAGGCGACGTTTCGACATAGGTTCTAATGTCGTTGTCAAGCACATGTATGTATGTATGTATGTATGTATGAATGTATGTATGTATGTATGTATGTATGTATGTATGTATGTATGTATGTATGTTTGTATGTATGTATGTATGTATGTATGTATGTATGTATGTATGTATGTATGTATGTATGTTTGTATGTATGTATGTATGTATGTATATGTGTGTGTATGTATTTATGTTTAAATAATTACTCTCTATATATCTATATCTATCTACCTATCTATCTATATATAGATATTATATATGATATCATTATTAATTATCAAAATTTGAAACATAAATATCGTATCTTCTAAGCCAGATTATTCAAAAAGTGTTCACGACTGATGAAGATCCAAACGCCCAAATGAATTTGATATCCAAAGGCGTGGATCTTAACTTAATTTAACACTAACTCGACTTTTCAAACCATTGAGCTGCGTTTCTCAGCTAAATTCGTATATTTTCAACTGCTTGTAATTGTATTCTACATTCTTCCACAATCATAAGCGGTTTATAGGGAAACATGGATTTATTTCAAATTACAAACTATATGATTACAGGCATGGACACCTGGAACATTTATATCCCCCTGCCTCCTCGTGATTAGCCTGCTCCATAAAACAGATGATAGCAGCACGGGTTTAGTCTCATGTAATCCCCCGTTATCTCTTGTAACGGGAATATTTAGGCACACATCCAAACGATACTTGTGTGCCAACGCTTCAGTTTTCTCTTTTCTCACTCTGTCCTATGTTCAAGAGGAAGTAACGCCACAGCGTTCAGTGGCACTACCATACGTTTTCTGTGTGAAACACTAAGATAATACAATAATGCGATGGTTATTGGGAATTCCTATTTGTACCCATTTCTAAATTGGAACCTTTTGGCATGACGGAGCAATGGCCGGTGAGAGAATGGCCAGGACGTCCGTCTTCTTTTGCTTTTAAGTGTTATTTTACACCATATCCGATAGTCTTGCTCCTTCAATATAGCTCTATTGGGAACACATCAATGGCCATCTTGAAATAAATTGTTTTGCGTCTCTGAGCCTCGCTTCCAATTTACTTTTTAGGATATTGCGAAAGGATATGTCGGAAGTGCGAAGTGTTCATACCGTAGTGATTGATGTCGCTGTGTAACGCATCCCTCCGCGGTAACAAATCACTCACGTGTCATGAAAACATAGTTCCAGAATCGTCGCAGTAGTAAAGTAAACAATGAGACCCACGTACTAAATGTTCACTTTTATTCAAATCAAGTGAGATGGGAAT